CCCAATATTCCCCTCTCCTGGGTTTTCTCCCCTAACCACTCTCCCTCCTCTCTTTTCCCCTGAATTTTTCTCTTCCTGTTTTACTTTTCCTCTTTCCCACAAGCTCTTTCCTTCTATGGACCAAATCCCATCTTAAGGACATCTAAACCTAAAATCTGTAGCATGAACAACTAACATCGAAAACCTAGCTAGAGTCTTTAGTTTCAAGGTTCCTAGCATCACTGTTATATGTTTAGTCTTGGACAAGGAAACGTTCTCCTCTCCATAAATTTTGTTCTTATCAGAACTTTGGATCATGATTTAGATGGACCATTATGCTCACAGGTTACTAAGGAGATGGAGATCTTCATTCAGGCAAACTAGGTGGAGAAGAGTGATTAAGATGGAGAAGAAGAGAATCCTTCTCGAGAAAGAGAAGTCTGAAGATTAGGGAAGATAAAAGAGCAATGATTGTCATGGAGAAGGAAGCGCTGAGCTGGTTCAAGAGCTTTGTGGATGGATTAATCTTCACTTAGAGAACACAATGTTGGAGGAATGAGTTGGCAAGAGGTGGCAAAGAATTCCTGGTAGAAAACAGGTGGAACAAAAATGGTTGGGTTGGAGAGAGTCCCCATAGTAATAGGTTCCCTACTATTTATTCACCATCAGAAAACAAAAGGAGAGTGATCTCTTCAGCTTTTATTGATAATTCTTGGGACCTGGGTCTTAGGAGAGGTCTAAGGGAGTCGGAAACGACAGTGGTGGATGAATTAGTTATCCTTTTAGGATCAACCTATCTGGATCAATCCTGTTTGGACAGTAGAATTTGGAAACCTTCCCCATTTGGTGTATTCACTTATTCCTCTTTCTTTTATGCCCTCATTCAGTCAACAAACCCTGAAAGAAACTTTCCTTCAAAGGAGGTTTGGTGTCGGCAGTGATTTAAAAGGCGTGCCTAGGTGCACAGGCGAGGCACATTTTAGGGTAGGTGCCTCGCCCAAGTCCTAGGCACAGTCCTTTCAAAAGAAGCACGCCTGGTGTGCCTAGACCTTGCACCTCAGCCCAGGCGTGTGCCTTTAGAAAATTTGACCCCCTATTTGATAATGTTGTCCATTCATTCATCCTAATAAATTATCTTCTTAAAAAGCAATTAAAACTATAAAATCATTATTTTTTATGTCAAAACTAAGAACTTAAGACCCTAACATGGACTTTTTTGGGCTTGCCTCGAGGGGCGTGACACAAAGGTGGCTCATAGAATTAGGAATGTAATATGCCACATTAGCTACTTGAAGTAATGTAATTGAGAAAAAAAGAGATTATGCATTTTATATGCTTGAAAATGCTTTATATGTTTGATTTTATTTTTAAATTCTCATTCGAATATTCTTTACATGTTATGTTCATGTATTTTAATTTTAGATAATAAGTTTTTTAAAACATTTATTTTAAAATTTAAGTTTATATTTTTTATGTTTTATAATTTTTTATTTTTTGGCTTTTCTTTAATTTTTTGGCTTTCTTTTTATTTTTTTAAATTTTTTAAATTTTTAGCTTTTTTTTATTTTTGTGCCTTGCTTAACAAGGCGTGCGTCTCACTTTGCACCTTGCACCTCAAACGCAAATTAACTGCTGTGCCTTGCGCTTTTAAAACACTGGGTGTTGGTTTGTACCTCAAAAAATTCGGGCTTTTTGTTGGAAGGTGGTTCCCAAAAAAAATCAATACTCTAGATATGTTGCAAAGAAAAAGGCCAAATTTTTGTCTGTCACCTCATGTTTGTAGCCTTTGCTTGGGTTCTAGTGAGGCAATCACACCTATTAATTTCTTGTCCATTTGTGTGCTTTCTTTGGACCTAGTTCTCTTCTATCTTTGGTTGCAAGTGGACAATTCCCTCAAACATGGTAAGCCTTTTTGACCCAAGCTCTTTTAGGCAACTGAAGAGCTGTGGAAATGTAATGTGGAGGGCCAATCTGGGAAGAAAGAAACAATAGGATCTTCAAAGGAGTTAAGAAATCCAAGGAGGAAACTGTAAAAGGAATAACCATTATGACTATCAATGGTTGAAAACTTCGGATTTATTTAAAGACTTCTCAGCTGAGGACATTTACAAGAATTGGGGAGTGGTGGCATCTACAACCTCCATAAAACCTACTATGTAGGAATTGTGGTCCCCACCAACAAAACAAAGAATGAAATTGAACTTTGATGGAAGCTCTAGGGGTAACCCTGGCCCTTCAAGTATATGGGGAGTATTTAGAGATGAAAATGGCAGAATTATGGCTATGTTTTCAGGGCCAATAGGAGTGGGGGACTCATTTAGAGTGGAGGTGATGATCTTGCTTCAAAGTGTAAGATATGCCAAACAATTGGGGTTACACCAAGTTGAGATTGAGGGAGACTCTAAATTGTTAATTGATTGGCTACAATCATGTAAGTTGGGAGCCGGGATTTATAGACAACCCATAAGGGAAATCCTCAATATAACAAGGGAGATTGGTGCAACTAATTTGTTTACTTTAAGGGAAACAAAAACAGAGCTGGAAGTTACTAGATGCAGCTTTGGAAGATGCTACATTAGAGAGAGAGGAGACAGTGAAAACAGAACAGACTATCTCAGAGAAAGAAAAAAGAGGAGTATCTAAGCAAGGTGGATGTCTGAATGCTACTTTAGATGAAACAGAGCTAAATGATCAAGTTGGGAATATAGTGTTAAACAAGGGACTGTGAGGGAAAGTATGTTCTAGGCAATTTTGTAATAAAGATAACTAGGGACTCAACACCTGGTTAGGGGTGGACAGTTGTACTTAATTTTGTATTAATGAAGTAACCATTTCCAATAAACAATGAAATGGTTGGTTCATTACATTGATTGAGTTTTTGGGGAAAGGAAGCAACTAATTTGTGTACTTGAAGAGAAACAAAAACAGAGCTGGAAGTTACTAAGTGCAGCTTTGGAAGACGCTACATTAGAGAGAGAGGAGACTGTGAAAACAGAACAAACTATCTCAGAGAATGAAAAAAGAGGAGTATCTAAGCAAGGTGGAAGTCTGAATGCTACTTTAGATGAAAAAGAGCTAAATGATCAAGTTGGGAATATAGTGTACTCTCTACTGAAACTTGTTCAAAAGTAATGTGGGAAGGCTTAATCAAGTTGTTTGGGAATGCTGTGAATGCGGAAATCCTTGCAGTCTTATAGACAGTGGAGCTTGCTAGAGAGTAGGGTTTAGGCAGATTGCTAGTTGAAGGTGACTCTCAATTGGTAATTGGGTGGCTAAGGAAACCAGAGAAAGCGCCTTGGTCATTTAGGGGGATTTGCGAAGATTTAAATGGCTAACCACAAGCATTGAAGTAAGGTTGAAGATTGGTGAATGGGGTGGCAGATTGTTTAGCTAAGCAAGGGGTACACAAGAATCAGTTATTTGGGCACAGTTTTTATTTTTTTTTGATATATGAGTTATTTGGGCACAATTTTGATTTGCTTTTCACTCCTTGAGGCTGCAGCTCGCGCCTCTTTGGTGGTAGTTTTCACCTTGTACCTTTCTCTTGTTATTCTTTAATTTCAAATCAAATTTATTGATCAAAAATAAAATAAAATTTTATATCTTATCAAAAAAAGAGGAAGGTAGTAGGTAGTGAAAGTAAAAGGTGGAGTGAAGGTAGTAGCAGGAAGTATTCGAAGTGCTGGTGGAGAAGCTTCAGTTAAAACAAAAGGTCTTCCTTATTCTGTTTGATGAGCAAAGTACAATCCTTGATGTAGGGGATTCCCAACTGGTTGCGAGGTCCTTAAACACAAAACTTGGTTAGGTTCTGGTAAAAACCGGTCACCCTCTTATAATAAGAAGGCTCTCCCACAGAGTACATTCACGATTAAACTCCTAGGGCAACTGTTCAACCTTTGGCAGGAAAATTTCTTCCACAAAGTTGCAGTGATCTGCAGTGGAGTCTTGGAGTTGTTTTCCATGCAAGATCTTTGAGCAACTAAAATCAAGGTGGTTGGTGCAAGAGCAGAGAATATCTCCCGAGTAGTGGAAATATTTGCAGATGATAACTGGAGAACAACCTGGAGAACAAAGTTGCAGTGATCTTCTCCAATCTGCATC